CAGTACCCGCTTCTTCAACATACCTGCTTTTTGTGACCTTACTGCAGTAGGTTGCTCTCCTGCAGGACTCACGGCTGCTGTCATTAACACCAAGAGCAGCTCTGCTGTTCAGGCCAGCAGGAGGACAGGGTGATACTACCCGATGACATGGAAGGAACCGTGTATCAAGAAGGGATCAGTCTGTTTAATCTCCTGCATAGGACAAGCCATGAAGCTTCATCCAGTATCTCAATGTTCAAGCCCATAAATTCTTCCACTTGAATTTGACTCTGAAATTGGTGGCTTTGGTTACCAGGCCTACCGCTCTGTGCATATGTTCACCATTTTCCAGTGCTCACTGCGGTTCACCTACTAACTAGGTGAGAAACTTCCCATTACCAGCAAGCAAAAAGCATCTCCAAGGGTCATCACCGCCGCCTGGGCCTGTGTCCTGCTGGATGGAAGAGAAGGGATAGCAGCATACTGTGGTGCCCGACTTTAGCCACATGTTTTATTATTTTAGGATGAGCTCACCACACTTTAGCAAGCCAGGGGTGGGGTCTGTGGTACATGAATACATATCTGGAGTAGTTACACTTAGACTCAGATTTGTACAGAGTTTGTACAGAGGAAGGGAAAAAAAAATGAAGAATCAAATAACAAAATAGACATTAGCAGTCGAACCATTTTCTTCTTCTTCTTCTTCTTTTTTTTATCATACTAACAAAATCAGATAGCCAAAAAATGACTAAGCTACAAAATCGTAATACATACTGTACGGGTAAAAGGTTATCATCCATTTATACATCTAGTATCGTCTTTATTCTGGTAACTTACAAGAGGCCTATAGGATTTTAGTGGATTAATAATTCCCTATGCCATAGTGTTGAACTGCTAAAAGCTGCCATGACAATGCAGTACTGGAATCTTTGTTAAGACTGTTACGGCTCCATTTGCATCTGTTGGTTTGTTTTAAATGAAACCATCATGCATATCTACTGAAAGCCAAAGGAACTGATCAGAGGTGGGGGTGGGCAGTAGCTGTTATGACTTGGCTAGAAATTTAGCACCCAGAGCTAAGTATGGCATTAGCATAGTATTGTGCGTCTGCTCCAGTTTTCTGAACCTGGCAAGGGGGGGATAAAGCCAGCATTGCCACCCAAACACCTCTAGGGATTTTCTTTAGCCAGGAGGGCTGGGTAGAAATTGCTCATCTTGATCTGGAAGAGATTTCCCAGCTGGCCTGGAGACTTTATTTCTACAAAAAGTGTGTGCGGGGGGACCCCAAACCAATAAACCCTTTTACCAGCCAGTGAAGTAATGCAATGGATAGAAAGATTGAATTTCAACCAGGCAAGATCAAGGTTCATATAGGTTCACCACAAGCCACACCTGTGACTGAGATGGGTGCACTGACTGGGCCAGAAGACTGCTCAGCATTGACCTTGCATGTATATAACTCGCACTCAACACCCTTGGTTGAAGGGGAAAGTTGCTCCTTCCCACCGGACTCATTCTGCAGCTGCTGATCCCCAAGCAGCCCTCTGCACCCAGTACCAGGCATGAATCGGACATGGAGCCTACAGCGGAGACCATGGAGGGGTCACAGGAGAGAACCTGCCTTGAATCTGAAGAGCTTATTATTGTCGGGGCAAGTTTTTAAAAGGCACAGATGGGAGCTAGTCTCCCATGCCCTAGTTCCTGTCAGTGGGAGCTGGAAGCATAAAAGCTTTCAGCACCTTTGGCAGTCTCCCCCCAGTAATTCTGCCAGTGAGACAAAAGACTGTCAAGTCCTTTATATACCTGGGTTAATAGGCAAATATAGCAATAAGCTTATAAATAAATAGAGGGAATCTCTCACTCTCTGGGTTTACCCCTAATTTGGTCTCTGGCAGCTGGGACAAGCTTATACAGGATACTCAGACAGGCCTTGCGGTGGGCCCTCGGCACTGTGGGGATCTGTGACCTACACAACGCCCCAAGGCCCTGAAGCATGCATCTCCTGCTGCCCAAGCTCTCCTGAGCAAGGGTGTTTGTCTCTCCTTGCTGGAGAGCAAGGTGAGAACGCAAAGAGCTCCTGCCACATGGCTGGCACAGAGCCCAGGGTGGCATTGGCCATGTCCCAAGGGAACTGGCTCACTCCAAGGTGCTGATCCCTTTGCTCAGAAATGTCTTTCAAAAGGACTAACTCGGAGCCTGGGGGGGTGGCACACTACTCCCCAGTGAAAGCATTCAGGCCTTCCCACCAGAGGCTAATCTCCACTCACAGGGAAGCTGCAGTGATCAGTCATGCCCTGGGGAGCAACATGAATATTCACAGCCGGAGAAGAGAGCCAAAGCCAACTGCTGCACTTCCTGCAACTCAACCGTCTCAGGTGCTGCTGGAGGGGGCTCCTGGCTGAGGGCACATGGCCAAATTCTCCAATGGTGTAAATTGGTGACACCATTGGCTTCAGTGGAGTTCTGTCCCATTTAAACCACCAGCATTTCGGCCCGTAGAGCACAGAGCTATGCAGCGTCCCCAACCTGGGGGAGAGCAGGAAGCAACGCAGAGATGAGGATTCCCCTGCTGCAAGCCACTAGAAAACTCACCAGAAAGCAGATAAACAATGAGACGGACCCCAACCTCCAGTTTGGGAAGGGCCAGGACCCTCTGTGCGCACATGTAAAAATAGTCTTTCCCAGGCCTGATCTCAAACCTCTGGGGGCCATTTGCAGAAACACTCAGTCCTGTCCTGACTCTGATCAAGTCACCGGGAGTTTTGCCCTTGACTTCAGTGGGCAGAGTAAGGCCAGTCCTGAGCTCTTTGAAAAAGGCCGTCTCAACACGGCAGCTAGCTCCAGCTTGTTCATTATTCTTAGCATGATACTGAACACACTCACCCTGGGATTTCTCAGATGATGGATTGGGGGTCAGTGCAGTTTTGGTTCCTTTGCCTCCTGGGCTCTGAAAATACAAGCATTAGAGAACAGCTCGCGTGCTAATCTTCTCTGCAATCGCCTGGCATTGCTTAGACTCCTTGATTAGACGGGACCTCATCTTATCTTAATTCTTCTTTGTTCACCCACCCCATTTGTTCCCAAGTGGAGGCTGAAATCTCCTGATACACCTCAGCTCCCTGATACCCCTTCTCATCTCAACTCCCATGTCAGCAGATATCCCAGCAGGTGAAGGCAGCCCAGGTCTGTCTCACAGCCCAGCAAGAGACTCAGTGACCACCTGAGTGAGGGCAACCGTGAGGCTCTGATCTTTCCCAGTTGCCGCAGGCTGCCCAGCACTTTGCTGCTGAAGAATTTAAGAATCACCAGAAGCAGGCTGAAGAAAATTGTACAGGGAAAGGAAGATCAATGTTCCCAGCCTGAGTAAAACAGCCCAGCTCTGTAGGGAGCCAGTGGAACGGTGCTTCGCCCCCAGAACTCAGGACTGCACCAGACTTGCTCTCTATGCCGGGCTTCCTCGCCATATGCCCTGCTGGGATCCCCATCCCATTAGAGGGATCCCATGCACTGAACAAGCAGTGCGCACAGAGTAGAGATTTGAAGCTGGAAAAGACGAGATTTTGATCCAGATGTTCCAGGAAGGTCAGAAAACAACATGGTGAAGGAGGCAAACTGATCAGGAGGCTTACATCATTTGTTGCACTACAAGAAAGATGGCCAAAACACTGCCATTCCAGAGAAATGGGAAACAACTGGAAATGTGCACCTCCAACCAAGATCTTCCCCTGCTGATTCCATAAACTTGGGGGAAAAGAGGAACAAGAAGAGCTGTTGCTCTCTATGGCTTAGTCTACACTATAACATTTTGCCAGCTGAGCTACGTTGGCTTACTGAGGGGAAGAAATTGAGTCCCCAAACTGATACTGCTGTGCCCACAAAGCCCTTGGGGTGGGCACTGCTAAGCTGACAGAAAAGACCTGTCATCAACTTGAATTCTGTTATTTGGGAAGGTAGCGTAACAGCCCACACAGAAACCCCTTTTGCTGCTACACCAACACCCACTAAGTGACTCTGCCACCATAGCTCTGTTGGCAAACCTAGGGCAGCAGCAGCCCTCTAATGCAGGCAAACCTAAAGATCACCCAGGGGAGCCAGATTTCCCATTACGAATTAGCTTCTCCCTTGCTGTTGTGCTGCATCAGTGCACGCCCTGCCTCTACTCACAGCTGTTCCCATCCTACTGAAACATCGGGGCTTTGGAAGAATCAAGACTAAGTGCCGCTCGCTGGGTTTCCAAAGCACTGAATGACGAGTGCTCCCTTGGATTTGCCGAGAACAGGGAAACTGTGTTAAACACTTCAGACCATATTTTACCCTCATTCCACCCGAGCCCGTGGGAGGTTAGTGCAAAGAATGAGACTAGAATATAGCCCTTGGAATGTATTTGCCCCCTGTGCAAAGCTCAAACGCTTACTGAGATGCGTGCAAATGGGTCCGCATGTGCCCGACTAGTTCTCTGCACATGTGATCGCAGTGGGTACCATGTGCCAATCTAGGAACTCAACTGGGCTCGTAGGGTCCTAGAGGCCCTTACAGTAACAATGTGATCCCCAATGCAACTTGTGGGGCACAATCCAGCAGCCCAGACCTCCCACTGTGTCAAGGAGAGAGAATTTGATGTGACCACCAGATATGGGGAAGAACTGAAATCAATCACAGCTGGAGATCTGCTCTACACAGGGCCTTGGTTTCAAGGCCTTTTGACACAATACACCCTTGGCAAGAATGCTCCAGCAGCACAAGGCCTGTCCCTTCCACTGAACTCCTGGGAAGACTTTGCTGAAGGGCCTAAACCAGCTATGGTTGGCAGGACACACAAATTTAACTTAATATTATGCAAGCCCTGTCCTTGTATGTATTGGTTGGAGTTGTGTGAAGAGTAGAAGGAAAGGGGTTTGAGATGTCTGCTTGACATGACTATGCCCAACACATGTC